CCACCGGGCCTCTGAGTCCAAAGGGAGAGGAGCCGCAGACGAGTGCACGCAATTCGGCTGCGTCTCCCGACAACCGCAATAGCATGCCCGCCGGCTACGAGCGTCCACGCAGCGCCGACTCCATCGACGACGCCGTCGAATCCTATCTGTGCTCTCCCAGACTTTCACAGAAGATCAAGCATCCTCAGACTGGACGTGTGATTTCCTTCTCGGAAGTGGGAGATGCCGACGGGTCTGCCGTATTCTGCTGTGTGGGCATGGGGTTGACGAGATACATCACGGCATTCTATGACGAATTGGCGTTGACACTCAAGCTGCGCCTCATCACACCCGATAGACCTGGTGTTGGAGACAGCGAAGCATATGCTGATGGAACCGCGACGCCGCTCAGCTGGCCCGACGACGTCTACGCCATCTGCCAGGCTCTCAAGATCACCAAGTTCTCGATCCTCGCACACTCCGCCGGTGCCATCTACGCCCTGGCAACGGCTCTTCGCATGCCTCAGCACATTCGCGGCAGGATACATCTGCTTGCTCCCTGGATCCCGCCATCCCAAATGAACGTCTTCGGCACTTCGCAGGCCCTTCCTCCGACGAACGCCATCCCGACATCCCAACGTATCCTCCGAGCACTACCGACGCCATTCCTCAAAGCCGCCAACAGCTCCTTCATGTCCGCCACAAGCAGCTCCATCACGAGTTCACTACCCAAGACGCCGAGACGTAGCAAGCGCAAATCGACGGCGACAACAGGTCGGGGCACCCCAGCCATGTCGGACGGGGGAAAGCGGGACACGACACCCCACCTCGACAAGGAGAATCTCGGCCTCTTCAACTTCAAGGACCGCAACAGCACCGGCGATGACTTACTTGGCACCGGACCCGCTCCGATTGCCACAGAGAACATGGATAGGATAAGGCCCACAGGCACCGCATCGGCACAGGGCCATTACGACCCTGAGACGCAGATCCTAGCCGCCGCCGCGGACGCATTGATGGACAAGGAACGTCAAACAATCTACGACAACAGACTGACGCATGCCATTTGGGAACTTGCAACGACAGGCGCTAACCCTGCCGTCGACTTGTTGGTCTGCTTGGAGCGCAGGCACACCATCGGTTTCCGATACGTCGACATCACGCGCCCTGTCGTCATTCACCACGGTAGCCGCGATACCCGCGTGCCCGTCGACAACGTCAAGTGGCTGGGCAAGACGATGCGCCGCTGCGAAGTACGCGTGCTCGAGGGAGAGGGCCACGGCCTCATGGCGAGCGCCGGTGTCATGGGCGCTGTGCTCATGGAGATTAGCAAGGAGTGGGATGACTGGCTCCGCGCCACCAACGGCAAGAAGGACGACCGCGGTCGAAGAACCAGCGCGCGGTAGAGCAAGTCCTGTTCTCAAGTGCCCGTTGCTTTCCAGGACAGCAGCGAGGCGCTTCTGGCCAAAAAAGTTCAGATCTGGCATGTTTGGAATGATTGTCTTCGACCGTCCATGATTTGACTGATATCTTGATTTACATACCAGCCCACAGAAAATGGGCATTTACATAATATTTGAGAGGGGTCATGTACGATTGGCATGGTTATTCTTGTACAGCACCGGCGTCGAGCGCGTCTTGGAGTTCTCTGGCAGATGGCGTCCTGGGTACGAGCTTTGAAGGGAGGAAGCCATGGGATAGACGGGTGATTCATGTCGGACATGACCTTTGCACAAGACTTTCGTGTAGTATATAGTAGTACAGTATCGGGCCCCCGCCAGCAAGGCGAGGGTAGGCCGAATAATGTGTTAATACGATCTCCTTTGTGGATTCGAGTCGACGGTTTCAAATCTCTTGTATGAATGTGCTGAACCGGCGTCACGCCATCGTCCGTCTCTCTCATCATCGGCAGCCTCGACCAGCTGAACAATCTGATGAAACTCTTTTGTATTGACCTGATTCTCGACTTATAGATCTATGGTATCCCTTTTAAACTATCAGCAGCAGCATCCTCTCTATCGGCCACCCGACTTTTGCGACAACGCCTGCCCTGACAATCAATCCATCGCCATGTCGACGCTACAGCGAAACCACTCGGTCTGTACCTGAGCTCAAGCGGATTCACCGGAAGCTCTGCTACAAATGCCAAAACCCTGAGCATTTCGTGAACCACGACGAGGATGATAGAGCTAAAGGGCATCGCCCCTTTCCTTCGGCGTGTGCGTCAGGAGCGCCTGATTTTCCTGTGTCTGCGCAGCCAATTTCCTGCGTACCTAGTCCTTCGATACTTATATTACCGACCACAGTAACAATAACGACGACGACGACGATTCAGGCGAAGAGGAAGAGGGAAGCGCTAGGCTTTGTGGGAAAGAGGGCAGCAGGACAGTCCAAGATGCTGACAGCCAGTCCCGCTGGAAGTCGACATTCAACTCCTCGACAACGAAAGCGACTGTTTGAAGTTTTGGTCATCCATCTATATTAGTCTAAGCTCATACGTCTCCTTATAATAATAGGATTTTGTGACGCGGGAGAGTTGATTCGAACGCGGATGATGAGATATGTAGAAGTAGGAGGCTTTAAGTTATGAGTAATAACTTGAAGTTGGCTGTAGTCTTTATTATTGTAATAGCTATTGTCCAGCGGTGGAGGGCTTCCTGGTTATGGGTATATGTGTCTCTCGCTGCTGTCATTACTGTCGCAGGTGGAAGAAACCAGATAAAGCTGATGGGGGGCTGGAAAGGACTAGAAGGGGGGACCGAGAATATGAAAACGAATCATCGTGGGAGATTGCCTAAGAAAGTTCAGTGTTCACATTCGTATTTACTAGGTGTGTGGAGATTTGAGAACACTGCGGCCTATCAACCACCCCTCCATTGGCTTACTCGTTTACACTTCTATCTCCTTCGTCATATCCGTGACAGCGGTCTCCTTCTCCTTGTGAGCACTTCTCTCTTTCTCTCTGTCCATCATTATCATCATGTAACACAATTGAATCAGCTTGTTTCGTCGACTACAGCAGCAGGAGGTGCGCGTTGTTGGGCCTCGAAGTTACACCTCAGTCTCCTCACTACAAGACTACAAGTTCACCCCGTTCGCGTCCACGAGAAACCAGACGGACACATTGACCTGTGTCCTCCGCCAGTCAAGTAAAGCAATACAGATCCCCCATCTGTTTGTAATGTCGACGTAGGCCGTATGAACGCCACAGAGTCGAACGCGCGCCCTGGAGGACAGGACGTACCGCCTGGTTGCGTTGTCTCCATTCCCAGTGATGATATGTCAGTTACCCCCAGCGATAATGTACCAGCGACCCTGATTGTAACAATACGCCAGTCACTCTGCTGATGAGGAGGCCAAGGATGGCAACAGAGGCTGACGGGGCTCGCATCGGCGAGGGGTCTGAAGACGGTGAGGGCGCGGCCGTTGGCGAGAGAGGTTCTCGATGGAGAGAGAGGGGCTGGTCAGGTGCTGGGTTGATGTAGTCTTGATTGCTTGTGGTATCGGTTGAATATGGTAATTTCCTTTTATGTGGGATTTTGACATGGCCATCATCGCACAGTGATGCTACAGCTTCAAACTCAACAACCAAGGCAAGTGACAACTTACAACTTGTTTACAATGTAAATTCAATGATCTTGAATGTGATGGATCATGTTAATTGGTCCTGGAGGTTCCCAAGCATGATGTGGCCCAAAGGATGTATTGAGCGGCACTGGTCTTCTGATTTGACGAATGCAAGTTGACTGGGCTGCCGGCTGCCAGCCGGCATTTACCTGCATGCGTAAGTGGGTCATCTGGTTGGTTTGGACCCCGCACAGGCCGGGAATCCGCCCCGAACACGGAAAACATCTGCGCCATCTGCAAGGATCTTCGTCTTACATTTATATGCGCTATTTTAATTCCATTCTTTCATCTAGAGGCACAGTGGCGGAGTGGTTAACGCGGTAGACTCGAAATCTACTTCCTTCGGGAGCGTCTGTTCGAATCAGGCCTGTGTCGTGATATCTTTTGCATTTTTGGTGGCATTTTGAAGTTGGTGTACCATGTTTGGTGTTTTTGGTGGTGAGAGCAAGTTTGAGTGTGGCACAACGCTACAGCGAGGTAAACGCATGAAATTTCTACCATGTTTGGTCTGTGCCTGGGCAACAGTCGGAAGTGTTCATTTGTTCGAATCATTGGTCTCACCGAGCTTACCGACAGAGATCTACGTCGTGACGTGAGCCCATCAACATGACCTCAAGTGACGAGCTGTAAGGGGAGTTTGCAATTGCTTACAAGATCCTCGAGCACTCATAGCAATTCATCACTAGAGCACATTATTGTCTCTTCATATGACGTGCGGAATGAGGGGCGTGGGTCAATTCCAGGTGCCGATTTGCCTTTTGTGCGGGGAGTGGAATAGGCGCACCGCGCCCATTTGTACTTCAGGAGAACTCCAGCAAAACGCCAGGTGCGCAGTCAGCACCGAATCAATGAGAGCCGAAAGCCTCTGTGGCTTCAAACAACACAGAAACTTGTTTGTTGTTTTACCAAATCCTGGACCGCCGCAGAAACCAGCCTATCTGTTCTGTGTCAAACATGTCACAACAATCACCGACCGACAATCCGTACTTCTTGCAAAGAGACGCGAATCATTCGGGACCCAACCTGAACAAACCCCATGCCACTATGCAGTACATTTTCTTCCTTTGAAGGTGCCGCTGTGAGTCCAGGCCCAGACAGCTGCGGCGCTAAGCCCTTGTGAGCCACAACGGTCGGCGATCCAAGCCCGCGGAACTACGTCATGGCATCCAACATGCGTCTCGACTCTTAATTACTTGCTCCTCCCAGGCTTCCATAGTCCAGCCCTACCGCAAATGCCACGAGGTTTCACCCATTTACAACTTATCGCATCCCTTAAACTTGGGAAAGATCGTCGACTTCACCTTGGCCTCGACCCGTCGCAAGAGTGCTTTGGCGATATCAGTCCACTTACACGAAGCCTGTTACCCACATTCTGAACTAGCGAGGTCTTCGAAATGGATATACTACTCTCACTACCCATCGTATCCTACTTCCTGGCACCGGCGATGACTTCCTGGACCACTTCACTTAACCTGCTCTTCTTCTACATGACCTGGACTACCCTCGTCCTCTCACATGGTCCTCTTAAGATCGAGCTCCTGGGCACTCTGGCCCTGCGCGTCTTTCTCTGGCTCTTCCCCTCTCTCCTTTTCCTCCTCTTCGACACTCTTCTCCCGTCTTTGTCAGAGTCTATCAAGACGGCAGGCGCCGCAGCGCTACCACCAACGAACGGTCCTTTTCTGCTCAAGACGCTGCTCCTCGCGCTCGTCAACCTCGTTCTCGCCGCTGGCCTCGAGGGTGGAGTCAGCGTGGCTTGGGCCTCCTACTTCCACGAACCTCTCTTCCGGGCCTCGACAGCTCTACCTCTTCCGTTCCAGCTCGTAAAACACATCGCTCTCCTCATCGCCGCCCGCGAAGTTCTCACCTTTTACATCCACACGCGCATCCTTCACAGCCGCGGCCGCCGCTTCACGAGCACTCGCATCGGCAAGCTTCACACGTCTTATGCCCACTCCCGCGCCGCGCCGCCCTTCTCTCTCATGGCATACGCTGACCACCCCATCCCCTTCCTACTTCACCGCATCGTTCCAATTTTCGTCCCGGCGTTGGCTCTTCGTCCGCATCTCCTCACGTACTTCCTCTTCGTCGGGTTCTGTACAGCAGAAGAGACGCTCGCCATGTCTGGGTACAGCATTGTGCCAGGTATCATAATGGGTGGCATCACGCGGCGGACTGCGATCCACTACGCCGGCAAGGGTGAAGGCAACTACGGTGCCTGGGGCGTCATGGACTGGGCTCATGGCACGAGCAGCGGGCAGGACGTCATTGATGACATGAAAGCCGAAGCAGAGAAGCACCGCCTCAAGGAACGTGGAGAGAATGCAGCAAATCACGGTGCCAATTTTCTGCAGGATGGTATCCAAGAGCTGAAGAAGGGTCGCGGCCGCAAGGGAAAGAAGAAGGCTACTGAGTAAAAGGTCGGCGGGTTGCGATTGTTTTCGAACGTGAAGCCTTTGGGTATGATGGTTGAGATTGTTTGTGATTTCTTCACGTTGAATGAGTTGCTCTTGTATGTCCCGAGAATACCCCAAATAGCAGCCAATGAGTCTAAAGTATATGTACCAACGAAGCTCCGTACTGCGCGCCGATGCCTTGATCTCCGTTTACCAGATGCGCCCAAAGGCCCTTCCTTGAAACCCCTAGTCAGATTCATTCAAACGTGTCTATGCCCAGTTGTTCTTTCTCTTGAACCAACGGAGCGTCTCTAGGGCAGCCGTCACACGCATGCCCAGTCTTGCGTCAAAGACATATGCCTCCCAATTGACGACCTTGTCAAGCCATTCCTGGCACTCGTCCAGCTTCTTCTTACGGTACTCCTTGACGAGCTTGGCCTGTGCCTCCGCATCCGCCGGCTCGTCGGCGGCTGGCTTCCTGGACTCTGGCTTGCAGCACTCGAACCAGGCAATAGCGGACATCTCATAGTGAGCCATGGGCATGGTGTACTCGTCTCTTGTTGTTCCCTTGAAAAGGGCCCTGTGTTTTTGTCAGTTGACTATCTCATTAATAAGAGACATGGTCGACTTACCTGTCGGCCGCGAGAACCTCGCTCAGAACCTCCCGTCCGTCATCGAACTGTCCCAGTGTCCTGTAAATCGCCGCCAGACACACAGATCGGATCGCAGCCTCATCGGGTGTCTTTTGCATCTTCTCAATACCATCAGCCGGCGCGGTGCAACGCTCCCAGGCCAAGCTCTTGATGGACTTGTGGAGCTCCTCATCATTCATTCTCTTCGTGCCGTTCCACAGGTTGACCATCTCTTGCGCGGGACTGACACCGATGGCATCGGCCAGGTCAATCTTGATCTCCTTCGCTCGGTCCTCCCACTTCTGGATCTTCCTCGTGATAAAGATGTCGAACGGCAGTTGACGAGCCATGAACTTCTTCCGCCCGGCAACTGTGGGCGCCTTGCGGAACAGCTCCTCAACCTTCTTCTTTCTTCTGCGAACCTCGTCCTCATCCTTCTTCTCGTGAACGGCGTTGCGGTATAGCTCCAGCTCTGCACAGCCAGCCATATAATAGTACAGGGTGTGACTCCAGTCGTTGAGCTCCAGGCAGCGCAAAAAGGTCTTTTGCATGAGTTCCCAGTCTTGGTGAGACATGGCGGCCAACGCCAGCTCAAAACTGTTCAGAGCCGTGACCTGGCGCATTTTGCTCTCTTGGCCAGTCGTAAGCAGCTGAATGGCATCTGCAAGACGACGCTGCTGCGCAACGACTCTGGATTCCTCGACGCGCCACAGCCGCGAGTCCGGGTACCGCTGGCGCATCGAGGCAAGCAATGCGGCGCACTTCTTGGCAGGATATCCAACCAGCTCGGCCTCAGCATCGAAATCAATCTCGGCGGGAACAATGTCGGCCTGACCCATGAGGCCGTTGTAGTAACCCAGCAGAATGAGTCCAGCCACGGCGCCGTTGAGGTTGTCGAACTTGGTGCTCTTCCACAACATCCTCACACCACGCTCGCGGTCGCCCCTGAAGCCAACTACGTACAAAAGACGGGAGAAAGCCGGAGGAACCATGCTGAGCATGAAAAGAAGCATGCCGAAGCACATGTTGGCGCCGCTGTGGATGAAGACGTCTACGGGGTTGGTGAACACGTTCGAGTCCGAATCCGAGTCGTCCGCCATCTTTGACGACACCTGCAAAGGCGCCAGCTTCGCATCGTCCTGTGGTGTCGAGGTCCCAGAGTTGTCCAGGCTAAGGTTCGCCATGTCCTGTGCCGGAGCCTGCAATCCGTTCGTCTTCTTCTCTGAAGGCGTCTCCGCGCCAGATTTGGGAACCTCACTGGCATCCACAAACTCGATCTCGCTGTCCTCCTTCTGGTCCAGGTCCGCGAACTCGTCGTCGTCGAAGCTGCCGGGCATCTTGTCGTCACTCATTCGCGGCCGCAGCGGCGGCGGATCCGCCTTGCCGCCCTTATCCAAAGCCTTTGCTTCCTGCACCATGATGCCGTCAAGTGTAACGAACGCCTTGCGAAGCTTATAGAATCCCTTGAGAGCCTCAGTCAAGCTCTCATGCAGGACAGCAACTACGGCGGCCATGAGCTGGGACTCGGCGTGAATGAGCAGAAACTCGGTGCCCGGGGGGTAAATCCTGCTGCTTCCGTCTGCGGCCCCCTCGCGTTCGGCCTTTTTGTAATCTGCCCATGCCTTGGCCTCTGTGTCGGCCAGTCTTTTCGAGGCCTCATTCATGACATCCTTCTCAAAGCCGAGGACTGACCGCAGAAACGTGGTCATGGACAGACCCAGCTGGTGAAAGGCCGAGTCACCCTTCCTCAGACGCTCTTCGGCACCGTCAATGTCGTCGTTCATGATGAGAGCGGCGGCAACCATTGCCTCCTCGATGTCGGCCATCTCCCGCGCAGACAGGTTGACCTGCGAGGCCGCCGGGCTCGCATTGCTGCTCACCTTGCCTGCGGTGGAGCGGAACCACGAGCCGAGTCTACTCATCTTGCCGGCGGGCGGTGAAGCTGAAGTAGTTGTGTGTGTGAGTGTTGAGTTGCACACACGAAAAGTCTGTGAGAGATAAAAATCTGTGAAGTGTAATATCACAAGCAAAAAAATTGACGCAGCCGCTGTCTGTTTCCACCTGGTGCAATCGGACCCTCGGAGTCGCGAGGCGTATTGGAAACCGGAAACGCTCCGGCGAAGACGCTGACAGACGAACAGAAGAGCCGTGGATCCCAGGCGATGGAACGCTGGCGCTGAAACACACGGGTCGATTGCCCGATTCTGGGTGCTACTGATCGGGGAAAATGACGTCTGTCCCAGTTGGGTTGGCGCTGTAAGGGACCACCGCTCCGGGGTTGAGGCGGCGTTTGTGGTGGGATTAAATATGGGACGCGGAAGCGAGAAATGGCTCTTGGGGGAGATCGATGTCTTGGTGGACAAAGATGATGTCGACGACTAGAGCAGCTGAGACGGCGAGTTGAGAGCCGGAAACAGCATCGGAGGACGGAGGCCCTCGTGTCAATATGCTCACGGCGTGGTGACGTCCGAATCAGGGCCGACGTCGAACCTCGGGATCATGAGCGCGCAGGTAAGGCTGCGTGTGAGTGAGCTCGAGACGCAGCTGTTGTTGGTGGGAGAAGAGGTTAGAAGTGAGCAGTGGGAGTGAGCGGTTGAGTAAGATGATAAGAGAACAGAGTAAGACGGGACAAGGAGTGGTAGGGTAAGGTAAAGTAGCGTAGACAAGGTGAGGCAGAGTAAGCCTCGACGAATGACGAATGAGCTCGAGTTGAACAACCAAGGGTTGCAGTGCACGTACTTACGGTTCGAGTCGTGAGAAGCGGCGGCGCGCTAGAGTGGCCAGTCTACTCGCAACGGCTTTCGTCGGTCTGTAAGGCAGACTGACTGTATGGCTGTAGGTAGGTAGGTAGGTATGTAGATAGGTTGATGTAGAGGTATGTAGGTAGGGGCGGTAGGCGGATGGTAGAAGACGTTTGTACACCTCACCGCACAGAAGCGTTGAAGCGAATACACGTATTCGGGCTCCTTCAGGGCATAAAGTACGCAGCAGCAAAGTCAAGGAAGTCTAGTTGTGGCGCGGGGCACGAGGGACCTGGGAACTTCAAGCGGGGGAGACGGGTCGAGTCGACGGCCTCGAATGGGTGGCTAGAAGCTGGAGCTAAGGGCTGTTCGTTTATGCGCCGGCGAGTCCACCAGTCGAGGGTGGATGGATGGGATGAGATGAGATGGGGGACTCTGCAGGTGAAGAACACGGGTGACGACAATGTGTGTCGGAGCTGGAGGCCTTGTTGACATAGAGGCAGAGTTGCAGGTTCTATTCACAGCAAAACTGTTGACGTAGTGCATGTAATAAGATGTGCGAGTACAGAATGAGCGAGGGACTTTGGACCTTTGTAAGCCGCAGAGGTGCCGTGTGCCTCCGGTGCGTTGAACACCGTCTTTGACATTCTTGGGGGCTCTTCCGGATCATCTCAAGAACGGCCAGGGATCGCTGGAGAGCTGTGCCTACCTTACTATGGAGCATGTATCCGTACTACATACCGCATAGTACGAAGAGTGCAGCAATAGCGTCGTATTCCAGGCTGTTGGCTTGTGGCTGAGAGATCCGTTCCCGCTTCCGCATTCGCATGAGGTGTCATTCCAGCCAAATTCACTTGATCCCGTCCAGCGCTGGCGCAGCGGACGGTGGGGTGTGTCCAGGTCTATCGGGTCTATCGGCTGCTGTCAATCACCGAGAGGCCACCCGGAGGAGCGCGAGTTTGCAGTACTCCGCTCCGTCGAGGTCCCCTAGCCTCTCCTTCTCTTGCGGACTTTGATTAAAGCTTTGCTAGAAGAGACAGGACCCTAGGCGTTGATGACCGCAGTTAGTAAGTAAACCCCGAATGATATACGTGTAAATCAACCCTGTCAACAAGCTCAAGCCCAGCCAGCCCCTAGGATCCCACGGTGCAGCAGACGCAGGCTTAGCAAAAAGACCCTACGCCAAGAGATCATCCGCTACTGCATCTCTCAGTGCGGCGGGCGGCAGACACAAGCACATGAATCAAGCACCCACATGTCTTTCGTCGTCCCCTAAAGCCGTCGTGGACAAAGTCAATACCCGCCGACCGGGTGGCCTGGCCGACAGGAGACGAAAAAAGAAACGCGCGACAGCATCCGGGCCCTCTCTCTCTCTCTTGAGTGAGTGTGCTGCAGACCGGCAAGTCAGTCAGTAGAGTTGACTGACAAAAGTTTGCCTCGTCTCAACTCGAGTCGGAGCGCCTCCCGACGGAACGGTGATGGATCTGAGGTGGTACGGGTGAGAGATTGCCTACCAACCACATGATGAAGACACACGCATGATGTGCCCGGCCGCCGGTCTCGTTGCCTCTGGCCGACTTTGATGCCTGCTCGCGTGCTCAGTCCCCTAAAACGGGTTGCTGACGGCCGAGATATGTTCCTGTATTCG